TTTGCAACCAAATTAAAATGTGGAATTAACAAAAGCCATTCCATGGCCCTGATCAGCAATGTAGTTCCAAAAATACTCATCTTCTAAAGTAAAACCAATCTCTAGGTGTTAACTGTGAACATACATAGCAGGAAATGTGTCTTAATGTGTTGTAACTGGCATAAATAGTCATCTCTCAACATGAATGTATTGTAGGGAMGAGGTGGTTTCCTTGGTAATTATGCTTTCTGAGTTGTGTGACATCTGTTATCCCTTCAGTACTGTTGTTGCCATTTGTACTTCACTGGGTTTTTCAGATGAAGAATTACGTTTTTTTGGCCATGTGCTGTTTTTTAAYATCTTTTGGCTATTTGTCATCCAGGATGACTTATCTGTGTTAATTGTAATAGAAAAGAAACATGGTAATATTTGGATGATRCCTTCCAGAGTAGCAATTAAAAATTTGTCAGAACACTTATAAAATAATTAAAACCTTTCCTGTTAAAATTAGGCTYTTCTGGAAACATGAACCCTTAGGCCTGGTGCTCCAGGCAGCAGAAGTAGCTGAGGATTAAGCTGTAAAAACTTCTGAATGTCTTGACAATTGAATTTTCAAGAATTAGAAGTCTAAGAGTCAGATATCTCTAAAGCTGTACAAACCACAAGATCCTTAGAATGTGTCTGTAGGACAGCTTTTATTTGTAGGCAGGCCTTGAGAGCTTCAAATGGTCTTTTTTTTTTTCCACTCTCCCCATTAGTGCACAGAGAAGATGACAGATACTACTGGGCTTCTGGCAAGTTGCAGTCTGCTGGGATTGATGTGTTAAATATCTTTCCTTTAATAAAATACCTCACTTGGTTAAGTGCTCATGTTAAAGAACTAGGAGGATTTTGAAAATATGCTGTGAGTAAAAGTGTAGGTGAGCTGTGGACTTGTGAGATGTGAAACTTTGAAGTTTTTTCAAAAAAAAAGAAGGTGGGGGTTTGAGGGTATAATCTGTCARTCCTTTTCCCCAATTTTCTTGGTAAACAGTTTAATTTCAGTTTCAATGGGATTATAGTAATTTGCTTCCAAAAGTTTTTGTTGATATTTTTTTCATCTTCCACAAGAGATTCCTTTAATGTGTCAGTCAGCCTGTAAGATGTCAGACTTCTGCTTGGGGACAGTCGGGAGCCACACAGGGAACTGACTCTCAGGAGTGGCTATCCATTGCTTTATGGATAACCTAAAACTAAACTGGAGGAATTTGTAAGGTGTTGGGTGTGTTTTGTTTTCCTGTTCAGCACTTACCCAAGGTATTGTTGTGTGATTGTGGTGCAGTGACAGTTGATGCTCTGGTCTAGAYACCTTCATAGCAAAATACTAAAATGGAGAGCTACTGAAATGAAAATCACTGTTGAGAAAGAGAAGTACCACCTTCCTTCAAACTGTGGAGGGTGTTCATGCTTCCCAAACAACAATCCTGAGTCCATTTCAGGAACATCCTTCTCATTCATTGACATGCAGAGAAGTTTATATATGAAATCAAGACCACCGATGAGACTCTTCAACACTTCCGCCTTTCTTTTTAGCTTTCCTTTTCCTTTTTGCCCTTCGTGTTCTAGTTTCTCTGTTTCTCCTTAGTGTTTGCAGCCTTCCCTCTTCTCTGGATATCSCTGGAGCAAACCCCAACATGTACAAAAGTGAGGGTTCTTTATGAGCCCCTTCTCTATAATAAAAAAAGCTGTTCATGTCAGTCTTGTTTTTTTTCTGATACCTTCAGGGAGTTTCTGAAGAACCAGCCATGCTTTATGTTGCTTCATCTGTTTCCTTTGATGAAAATGTGTCTTGTTTACAGATTCAAGTTTTCTAATCTTTGGCAAATAGCCTTTCTAATCCTAGTCTTTGTTCTATGTTAGGTTTTTTTTTTTTTTGAAGGAATATATTTTTGCTTCCCGTATTTCTTTCCCACTCCTTTCTCCTCATGTCCACAAGTGTAACCTGAAATCATAGCAATATTGTTAGTGTATAGGAATGAGTGTGTGAAAGCCCACTACTTTAACATGCATTTCAATTGTCCACTTAATTTTATAATTCAAGCTTAATTATGTTTTGTTAAATTGAAGCCAGTGTATTTTGTACATTTTTAATTTATTTCTTAATGCTATGGTTGTGTTCATCTCTTAAGTCTATAGCATGGGATGCTACTTAAGGCTGTGAAGTTAATGCTAAACTTAAATCTGAGTTCGATTTTTTTTTACTCGCTAGTGGTGTTGAGGTAGTTCTCTTTACACCCATCCTTAATAAACTATATAGATATTTGTAGTCTATTTCAGTCTGCATCTTGTGTTTGAATTCTTCTTTAAGTACCAGAATCCAGGGCAGCTGCAAACCAGCATTTTTTCCTCACTGGAGGCATCCTAGTGTTTTGCTGTGATACTTATGCTCGGTTTGGAGTATGTGTCCTTTAAGGATGAAATAGTGTTTGTGTAACCAAATGCAGTTTTGAAAGATGAGATCTAGAACCACTTTCTGAAAATCCTGATGCAATCTGGTTGGTTGTTTACTGTTGTGTAGACTGTTTGTCCTTTTGCTTAGAATGCGGATTGGAAGTAATTTTCATGTTTTCTTGTACTACACTGATTTGTTAGTTCTGTGCTCAAGGTAGAATCAATGGTGTAGACTGAGCATGAGAAATAGATGTTCTCTACAAGCTAATTTCAAATCTCCAGTCTTGGATGGGATTGTTGCTGGTTTGGAAGGTGTCAGGCTTTAATGCTCCTTTTCACATACACCAGAAAAAATGAGAAGAGTAAATGGATTCAAAAAGTGCAACAGGTAATTTGTGAAATAGAAGTGGCAATGTCTTCTGTGCCGGGATGTTTGATTCATCTAAGAAATTTGAGTAATATRATGGTACTGTGGGAGAGAAGTTAAGTGACTCAAAGAAGAAATGTTAAGTCAAAATCAAAATGCCACAGAAGGTTTTTGTTCAGGAAAAAAAAAAAAAACCAACAAAACACTGAACTTCAAGGTTTATTTGGATAGTTTGCTTAATTGAAATAAAGTGAAATGTTTCTTGCATGTATCTGTATCTTTCTCGAAGTCAGCAGTACAGATTTTTGCCCAATGTTTGAATTACTTGTGCTACTACTGATAATGTTCAAGCTTTCTATTTTTCACCTGAATTAACAAAACTACCCTCAGCAAAAATAAGAAGTACTAAGTGTTTCTAAGGGCTCATTTCTTACTACTTTTTACTGTGAGGATGCCTGAGCACTGGCAGAGGCTGTCCAGAGAGGTTTTGGAGTCTCCAAGCTTGGAGATGCTCAAAAGATGCTTGGACATGGTTCTGGCAACCAGCTCTAGGTGTCTGCTTAAGAAGGGGATGGACCAGGTGGCCTCTGGAGGTTCTTGCCAACCTCAGTCGTTCCATGATTCTCCAGAGGTTTTTTTTGTGTGCATGGGGGAAAAATTCTGTACCTTTCATTCCTTTCAAATAKCAGCTATTTGGCAGGTACTCTAATGTATATAAGTATGAACTAATGTACCTAGAACATTAATGTTTTGATAGGGCACAGTCTTATGGGTGCCTAATTGAGATTAAGTAGTTACCTATGAGTTTTAAGTGTATTAATTTATTTTTTTATCCTGGACTTTTACCAAATATTCATTAGTGTCTATGACAGAATATTTCTATCCAGTCCCTTCACCAAAGCTCTTAAAAATATTRTTTCACTATCTTAAATGATCATCAGAGTGTGAATCCTAGTGTGTGTGTGCTGWCCAATATAAAAATGGTTCTACCCTGAGGAGAATGGAGTGAGTTGYCAGTGGTAACCTTACTGTTCTGCAGAGGATTGGTGCACAAGAGGAACTGGTGTGCTAGAAGAGATCACTGCGTATGGTTAGGACGCCTGATGTCCCCATTCATGGTTGGATGCAGTGATTATGTACAGAGGATAATTTTCAGGATAAATGCCATATAAAKATTACCTTTAAGTAATCCCCTAGTTAAGTAATGAGGAAAGAGGTGATAAAAATGGAAAAAAAATACTAAGTAAATAAAATTTTTTGCTTTTAACTATCAAGTAGTCTTTGCAGTGAAAAATCCCCAAGTTGGGGTGAACCTGTGTGAGAAACAAGAGTTGGGTTTGGTTGTGGAGCAAGCAAAGAAAATAAGTAAAATTTTTATTTCAATGTCCGTTTGATTGTCCCTTAATGGCCTGTATGCCTGATGAAGGGGTCCCAGTTACACTGTTGCTCAGAGTTAAATTAGTGATGAAAGCACCAGTAAAAAGTAAATGAGTTTTTGCRTGTTATTTGGTATATTTATATGTGCGAATCCATCACTCAGCTGTTGGAGCGTTGTTTCGTGTTCAGACTGGAGCRGATGCTCTGTGACAGACGCGTGGTTTGTGTGTTCGGAGGGGCCGGGACGGGCGGGGTGGGAGCGGTGCTGCAGCCGSAGCGGGGAGCGGCAGTTCCGCTGCCGTGCGCTGGAGGGCTCCGCAGACTGACGGCTGCGCCTGCCCCAGGGATTTTAAGGGAATTGCTGCATTGTACCTGCGCAGGGTTTAATGCTTGCCGGGCCATTTGGCTATTTGCCATAATTGGCTTTCCATTCCCTTGATTGGAATCATAGATAAAAATTTGCTAATCCACTTTCTTTGCTGAAAGTATTAGAAAAGTAATCCATCTTTTAAAAATGCTCGAACAAAATCGTGTRGTATAAAGAGTACTTTATGGAATAATGAGATTAATGAGAACTGTAAGGCATATGCAATTTAAAACGTTTTTCTATGGGTTTAAGGGGAAAAATGCAATCTGGGCACTATAAAGCCCATAAGTACTTCCTTTTTTTAGGCACTACATTTTAAATGTGCATTACATGTTATGCTTTTGTCTACATGATAAAATGTGGATATATATTTTGRAAGAAGGATCTGCTATTTATTTGTAATTTAAAAAATGTTTGAAAATACCTGATTCAAACTTCTTGGCTGTGTTTTTTCATCCCTTTCCCCTCTTCTGCCCACAGGGCATCAGAGCACGCATTTTGGAAACCCTTGTAATGCTTATTCTTCTTGCACTGCTTATCCTTGGAATTGTATGGGTGGCTTCAGCACTCATAGACAATGATGCTGCCAGTATGGAGTCTTTATATGGTATGGAATGCAAAAGAACCTTCACACCAGTTTCATTGTAAATACAGAAATGGATTTTTTCCAGTTAAGTGTATTTCTAGTACATGCTAATGTGAGCATTGCACAGGTTGTGAAGAAGATTTATTAGTTCAGTCAGCACCATTTTTTCTGTTAAATTCTATAACGTGAGTAGTCTGCTTGGAATAAGCTAAACCTGTGCTCAATGTTTTCTTTGCAGACCTCTGGGAATTCTACCTCCCGTATTTATATTCCTGTATATCACTGATGGGATGCTTGTTACTTCTGTGTAAGTATTTTCCTCATTATTCCAAGAGATGAATGGTTTTATGGTGGAGGTAGTTTTTTGTGTCTAGTTTTAATTTTTTTTATGTTTAAAAGAAACGTTTTTATGAAAATTGAGTGTGATTTTTTTTCTGATAAAATTTAAATTCAGATGTAAATTTGTTAAGTTTGGGTTCTGAAGTTTATGGTACCTTACATTTTCCAGTTTTGAAAAACTTCACACCTCACCAAAACCAATTTCAACTTCTAACTTGTTAAAGCAGGTAGTTGAAAAATAGCGACTCCATTCTGCAAARAAAAGCACAGTTTTTAAATGAAATATCTGCAGGAGGTTGGTAGTATGGTGAGAAAATTATTTTGGAACATTTTGTCCTRTATTCAGTAAACTACCATTCTGCCTTTTGTAATTGAAATTGTTGCTGTATAGGCAGGAGTTGGAAGACAGTGCAGTCAGCTTTTGTAATCACTCAGCTGGTCTCTGGCCAGTCTGCAGATCAGTTATACAATTGCATTTGGAACAAATGCAGTAAAAACCCAACCTTGCACCAGCTAGACCTAACCAGAGTTTGGTCATCTGTGTTCAGGAGAATGGAAAGCTCCAAATCCCATTTATAATCCCAGTCCCATCCTTGATAATTTCTAGAAAATTGCTGAGAGGGACAGAACATCTCCCTTTCCAGACTATTATGGTTTCATCTCTTCTCCAGGCTTGACAGATTCAAAGCTTACATGGGGCTGTCACTGTGGAGAAAGGGTGGGGAGTGGTAATTTGTAGTATCCTTACTGTCTCTGAAATTCAGAGACCTGTGRGTCTCCTCAGGTTCTCTGTATGTTCAAATTCTTAAATCTACTTTGAGGTAAGGTGGGAGAACTAAACAATATGCTTCTCAATGTCTGGAGCAGGCTGTTCCAGAGTGGGATTCACAGAGGTGCTGAATACTATAATGGGAAGTTGGTTTACCAGACTTCTACATCTGCTCTGCAGTTTGTTTCAGYAGASCTGAAAACACAGTCTCTGTTCTGGGTCTRTTGTAAACCAGTTCACCAAAAGCATTGCAGCTAAATGCCCATTTCTGGAAATGTAACTTAGATGAGCAAATCACTGAGGTTAAAGCCCTCCAGGCTGTTAGATCTGTGTAGCTGAAAGGGCAGCATACAGCAGTAGGGCAGCTGCTAGGAGTAGAGCTTCTTTAGATCTTCAGCTGGTTTAATTCTGAAGCAGTGTTTAAGTGAAGCCTGTTGTAGTGGTGTTTGGGGCATCATTTCCTTTCTCTTTCCTCCTTTTCCTGCAGGCTTCCTCTGCAGTAAAGAAAGACTGTCTTAAGTTAGATTTTTGAATACTTCTGTATTTTTCCTGTAATACATAGTAGCTATGGTGAAACACTAGTTAATAAAAATAAATGTAATCCTCACTATAAAATCWTGTCTCCTTATTTTGGCAACACTGTTTATACATGCTCATCCCTATTATAAATTTCTTCATCTCCTACATGTTTCAGTATTTGAAGGCTGTTTTCCCTAAACCATTGTTTCCTACTAATAATTTTYTGTTGTCATGATTGAGCCTTTCTCTCAAGAAGCATGTATGTACCATTCCTGAAAACCATCATAGCCTAGGATCAGAAAGGCCTGTTGTTGTTTTATAGAAAATAACTAAAAACTGGTGGCTGAGCCTACTATCAATGGAARTTGAAGGATAACTTTCAGAGCAAAGCTGCTTCAGGATCTCTTGGCCTTGCAGCKACACCTGTGCTAAAAGACAAAACAYGCCTGATATGTTCTCCAGTGCTGTTGCCAGACAATGTCATCCCATCCAGGATATTGCAGTTGGCAGGTTGTGCACATGCTGCCTTGTGATAATAGTTCCTGGGCTCCATGAACTCCAGAACTGCACAGAGGATCTTTTGAGAAAGTGCTAACTGGCCCAGGGCAAATCATGCCAGGAATAGTTCTAACAATTTACTGGTGTAGGCAATCCAATCTTAAAGCCCAGGAATGCATCCTGGCACTGTTGAATTTACTAGTGTAGACATAGCCTCTGGTGCCACATGCTTTGAATGAATAATTAAATAATTGAGATACCTGATTATATGGTGTTCCWTGTTGACAAAAAAAATCACAGAGTCTTGTTCAAAATTCATGTGATTGCAATGTGCTTAAAAGTTCATATTGGAGCTTTAAGCTCTTGCTGTTTTTTTTAAAACCAAAAAATGRTTAAATGTGGTCTAGCACACTGAGCATCCAAATAAAAAGCTGATCTTTGACTTACAAATGACTGCCTTGCATACTCTTCCTTCTGCAGTGTGCACGCCAGTGGGACTCTCACGGATGTTTACAGTAATGGGTCAGTTGCTGGTGAAGCCGACAGTAAGTGCTACACAGTTCTGTCCTCCTATGCTACCTGTGAGAAGGTAGAATGGTATTTGGGTGCTTTCTTTTAGAATGCTTATTACATTTCTGTAGAAACTCTTCAGTTCACCAGAGTTCCTATAGCCATTATTCATGTACTAATATAAAATTTTTCATATAGCACAAAAGCCTGTTTTTTTCCACAGACAGTTTTTCTTATAACAATACACATTTCCTCTGATTTTTCAGTTTATGTCAATGTTATTAGTATTATTTATTGCCCATGTTTCTTGCTGTGTTTTACCAATGCCTTGTTCTGAGTTCAGGATCAAAGCATACTAGAGCAAACAAAGTCTGTATAACAAGAATGGTACCTCTGGGGTACACAGAGATGGATGAAATCTGGGTTTTTATCATCTTTAAGAGCATGTTATACACAGATRCTCTTTGCTTCATGTTCTGAGTGCTGTGAGGGAAGGGAGAAGTTTGTACCATATACAAGTGCTCTAGTGACTTGGGTGCACATTTCCTAGTTGGTATTTATTAAATTTRGGAGCACTTAGATCTTGCATTCTTTTTTATTAGCCAGTTCAACTCTGGAAATACAAAGAAAATGTGTACTATTTCTTATCTGTAAGCTTTAGTCTCAAAGCAGTTGACAGCAAGGTAGACAGATTCATTCATTTGGTTTTAGCTTCCAATAGCAATTATTTGCATGAAATACTGGCTTATATSAAAAGTTACTTTTTAATACTATTTTTCAAAATCTGCAGTTATTGTTGCATAAATTGAGTGTGAAGGTTGACATGATTTGAATGTAGGTCAGACATACTGTTCTGTCTCTTTGGATTGAAACTGAACATAAAAACCTTAACTTGAAATAAAAGCAGTGACTTTTCTTACAGCTGTGTAACAATGAAATAACCTTCTCTGAAGTTCTTATTAGGGGCAGTATTGTGAAGTTGTAGACTGTATATTTAAWGTACAGGTTACTGGAGCTAAGTGAACGTGGTTACATAAGTGCAGTTAGGAAAACAAGTATCTGATAGTTTGTGTTTCTTTTTCCAAATACAGATCCTGGAAGACCTAGATGAGCAGATGTATATCATCACTCTAGAGGAAGAAGCAATTCAGAGGAAGCTTAATGGTATGTGTGGTATACCTGTAATGATACTGCTTCAGATCCAGTATTTAGAGTAGAGTGATTTTGATTGGACGTATTGGTCTCACTGTTGTGCAGCCTCTTCTCTCAAAACGGAAAATTTCAACATCGTAGCATGAAACAAATGTTACAAGGGTGCATTTGCTTGCTCACTAGGTATTTCAAGATTGKCTCTTGTGTGKGGGGGGTTTGCTTYGGTTTTGTTTYTTGATTGTTCATCAGCTCTAATGTGAGAATATTCTGAGGCTGAGAGRGCAATTGAGTAGCTGTCCAAAACAGCCTGGATTGGTAAATGACTCTGTTTCAGAGTTCTTGTTTGAAGGGCAATGAACTTACATTAGTAGGAGGATTGACTTCCTGCGGTATGAGTTTTGTTTTTAATTTGGAGGATTTTTTTGTGTTTCAGTTCATTATTATTTAGAATCTTAGGTAACAGACCATTAAACGTCAGAGCATTCCTTTATATTCTAGGAGCTATTTGGTGGATTTAATAATTAAAAAACATTCTATTGTAAGTGTAAGTAAATGTAAATTAATAATTACAATAATGTTTT